AAAATAATTTATGCATTATTATTTGCACATTTGCCCAAAACCAGTCAAAATCACTTCCTTGGGCAATCTAGTGTTAACGAAGAAGCAATTTTCGTGATTTCGTTTGGTTTCTCGCTTATCGGCAAACGAGTCCAAGTTGATAGTACGGTAGGTAAGGAACGCAGAACCACGAAATCGCGTAACCAATCGACTTCGATGGCGGTGCATGAAAATTAGATCAGTGTGTCAGGCACACGCTGCGTAGACGCGATTCAATCGCATCGCGTTCAATCATTCCAATTTGATATGACGTGTACGTAATTCCGTTTCGCAATTGTATAAACACGGACGGTATTCCATTTTCGTTTAGCTTCGATTCATTTTTATTTTCCTTCGCGGACATGCGCGTTCACCGCGAGCCTGGAAACCAACAAGCCCTCCGCAGGGGCAGCAGATAAGAATGAATTCGATGCACCTAATCGAACCAGTAAATAAAGGCGCGGTTGCTTTTATCAGTCTTGGAGAAAGATTAATATGTCCCTTCGTACGTGCATTAACATTTCGTTGATCTGGATTCGTCTGGTTTAATATCAAGGAAAACTCGTTGCGAGTGTTTGATGGCACGTTCACCGTTAGAACCGACGCCGATGCAGAGACCGATAAGATAAGACCAACGAGCATAAACGACGATGTTAGCAAAGTATTATAACATTCGTAGAATGTCACTAATTTTATGGACTAAGTAAAAACAGAATACAAACTCGATTGGAAGGATCGCGGCCGTAAACTTGAAATCACGCTTGGAATTAGAGTATCTCGGTATTAGCCTTGATTTCCAGGTATCGGTCAATAGAAAATTCAATTTGCAATCCAACTGGCTTTTCATTTATTGCAACGGGATTAAAATAATTGGATGATGCGTGAAGACTTTATGAGTCAGTCGGCTGAATCCGAACTTGAAAATGCATGTCGCGCACTTGCGTGAATGCGTGTAGTGGTTCTTATATACGTAACCTGGCCGGCCGTTCACGAGCACGATTCGCGCGGTCGGAGAAATCGAGAATCTGGAACCCGGCGAGAGTAAGAACCACGCGAACGAGATCCCTCCGGATATCCGTGCGAGCTGCCCGAAGCGTGTACGTACATAGGCGCGCGACCGGAACCCGAGAAGCCAGTTCACCCACGATATTGAAAGTTACCAGAGAAATCGGCGTTCAGTTCTACCCCTACGTTTTGCATTTTGACAAGCTTCTCTTTTGTAAACGAATTTTTAGCAGAAACAACTTTCGCGGGATGAAACGGAGTTCTCTGGAACACGATTGCAATTTATATTTAGAGAGGGAGAGACGAGTGTGTCGTTCGAGCCTCTTTCGTCCGACCGGAGGGGCCGCGCAGAAGTTTTCAAACGAGAAAAAAATGTGGAGGGCCGCGAGGCCCAACGCCGCCGTCCGGTTCGTTGACCTATCGTCCACTCTTCTTTACCTCTCGTTCTTCACCTTTCTCCCAACACTTGTTCTCTCTTCCTGCGAGACCCTTTTCAATCGACAGGACTCGGAGAGGTGTACAGATTTAAATCAGAGGATATCTGCGTCATGCTCGATCGATCTGGAATCAGGAAACGATTGAACGCGATTCATGAAACATCGATTCGAGTGTGACTCAAACATGGGAGATTACGCGAACGGTCAGCTGTGCGCGATCTAAATTCTGACTTTCGTTCTTGCGGAAGAGGAAGCGGTTTCTCAGTTGAAATTTCGCTCGATGAAAACACGTAACGTCGATCGTTCGCCCGATTTCGATTAAAGTCCATAGCTCACGATTTTAACTTGCCTCACTTTCCGCTTTTAAACTTATTTATTGAATATTTAATAAAAGTTCTCCATAAACTTTGCTGAATCCATTATCAGCTTGTTTACTCACGTTTTTGTATGCCTACGTACGTATTTAATTACGCTGTCATGCGACGTGCGGTTATTATTTAACAGCAACGCGCGCTGCAAGTAATTATCGATAATAGTATAGCTGTGTGTTTTTTTTTTTTTAATTATCGGAAACAGTTCGCCGCAGTATGCAAATAATTGCAAGCGTCCTCGTTGCGACGCGTTGAAGTTATCTCTACAATTCGTTTAGAACGCTTCTACCGACTCGTGTCGTTGATTAGAGCGGCGGACGCACAAGGGAAACGTGGATTTTCCGCTGAGAAAAAGCTTAAAGCAGGTCGCCGAGATCCGTGTGGGAATATTTTTTCCACTGCTCGGGTTCCCTCCTCTTTCACGATTCCTCCTTGTCCCTCGCGTGACTGGTTAAGGCGGCAGAATTATTGTCCTCCTAAAGCAGGCTAACTCGCTGGACGCCGCGCGTACCTTGAAATTAATCGGCGCGAAATTAAACCGGTTCTCCCGTCCGTCGCTCGCTCCGGGAAATTAATGAATATCGATTTCAACGGAGCATCCAGCCTCTCGTGAATAGAACGGGTCGACGGCGAAGCGTAATGCCGGAATCACCTTCTCGCCGTTCGCCTTTTCTTTCGGGTCTCGTTGTTCCTCGCACTTGCGCTGACCGTTCTACACGGATAGAAAACGGGTCTTCCACTCGTGACCGATGCTCCACATTCTCATCCCGACAGGTGAAATTCGAGATACAGAAACTCCGCCACGGTAGAATAACGATTATGCGTCGCGTTCTTCGAGTATTTCATATATTTTTCAAAACCAGAACCGCCGTTCCACGATACTTCAATGGTACGAAAAGTGCACTGCAATCTAAATTGCAGGTAGAGTAGAGACAAGAAACGACTTCCGGCTCTCGTTTTGTCGAACGATGACGGAAACAGTGTGTATATTGTTCTTGCAAGATTCTAACCCGTCGCCAGCTCTTTCTTTTTCTCTTTACCGGGTAAAGTAACCCACAGTTCTTACGGTTGTACATCCCTTCTCAGAAGTCTTAGACATGTCGTTAAACGAGCAATTGAAAGTTTCTAACATTTCAATGAATTAAGAAATTCGAACAAAACGCTTCATCAGATTTTTGTGATAACAAATTCTAATATAAAAAATTGCAGGCTTGATAATTACTCATTTTTCTATTTAAGATATTTTATACTCTTTCATTTGTATTTTAT